TTAGGTCCCTCCCATTTTTGTCCTTTATCATGTTCATCTTTGCACGAAATGTTCCTCTAATATCTCCAGTTTTCCTGAACAGATCTCTGGTTTTTCCTTTTCTGTTATTTTCTTCTATTTCTTTGCATTGTTCATTTAAGGAGGCCCTCTTGTCTCTCCTTGCTATTCTTTGGAAGTCTGCATTCAATTTTCTGTAGCTTTCCCTATCTCCCTTGCATTTTGTTTCCCTTCTTTTCTCTGCTATTTCTAAGGCCTCGTTGGACAGCCACTTTGCTTTCTTGCATTTCCTTTTCTTTGGGATGGTTTTTGTTGCTGCCTCCTGTACAATGTTACGAGCCTCCATCCAAAGTCCTTCGGGCACTCTGTCCACCAAATTGAGTTCCTTAAATCTGTTCTTCACTTCCATTGTGAATTCATAAGGGATTTGGTTTAGATTATACCTGAGTAGCCCAGTGGTTTTTCCTACTCTCTTAAGTTTAAGCTTGAATTTTGCTATGAGAAGCTGATGATCAGAGCCACAATCAGCTCCAGGTCTTGTTTTTGCTGACTGTATAGAACTTCTCCATCTTTGGCTGCAGAGAATATAATCAATCTGATTTCAATATTGCCCATCTGGTGATTTCCATGTGTAGAGTTGCCTCTTGTGTTGTTGAAAAAGAGTGTTTGTGATGACCAGCTTGTTCTCTTGACAAAACTCGTATTAGCCTTTGCCCTGCTTCGTTCTGAACTCCAAGGTCAAACTTTCTTGTTGTTCCTTTTATCTCTTGACTCCCTACTTTAGCATTCCAATCCGGTAAAATGAGAAGAACATCTTTCTTTGGTGTCAGTTTTAGAAGTTGTAAGTCTTCATAGAATTGGTCAATTTCCATCTCCTCAGCACTGGTTTGTTTCTGATCATGGGGTGGTCTTGGCAAAGATACTGGAGTGGCATTGCCAATTCCTACTCCAGGTGGACTGCATTTAGTTGGAATTCTCCATTATGACCTGTCCATCTTGGGTTTCTCTGCACGGCACAGCCCATAACTTCTCTGGGTTACTCAAGCCCCTTCTCCACGACAAGGAAGCAATCCATGAAAGGGAGATGAGAATTACAGTTCCAATAGATGGAGGAACTGATGTCCAGAGTAGCTGACTTCTCGGCAGAATATGTGCCGCATGGAGGGTTCATAACTTACATCTTGCTGCTGACGCTGCAGGACAAAGCGTCAGGACAAAGGCCCTGGGGTTGTAGCACCCACACCAAGAAAGAAGGGGAACCCAGTAAGGTACACACCTGTATCCAGTTTAATATGACTAATCTTCACAGAGAAGGACCAATATTTTTGACTTAGGGCAGCTGACAAAGGATTATATAGCTGGCAACAAATACAAAAATAACCATGAATGAGTTAAGCAATTGAATGAATGAATAAAATCATCACTGATGACTTGGTTTGGTGGGAGTTATCACATCACTTATCTCTTTCCAAGCAGGACTATATGTTTTAGTTTGCTCCCCAGCAGAGGATAGACCTTATCAGGGCTGTTTAGACTTCCGACCTAGTAGCTTCAAACTACAATGTTGCTTTTAGCTGACAGTACCTTTCCCATTTATTTTCAGCTTGCATGATCAGCTGTAACAATCCAGATTTCCCCCTTCACCTCAGCTGAGGGAAACATTCTAGTTTTCACATTACACACATTTTTATGATTTCTTGCTCTTTATTCATTGGCCTTCGTCCTTCTTCATTGGCCAGCCGCTCCCTCCCCATCCAAGCCAGCTAGCAACATCATCTCAAGTGAGGGTTTCCCATTGATAATTACTGCGCTCCTAACTCTACCATCTTAGAAGTGGGCCCCTGTTCTAAGGATCTCACTCAGGACTGGGAGGAATTTGCCATCATACGGGGTGGTTGCTATTTTCACCAAACTTCCTCAAACGTGCTCAGAGGTATCCTTTCTTTCCTTCCTCGGAGCTTCCCTTCCTCCCCGCTCACCCACTCCCACTGCCTCCCCGGGCTTGAAGGAATTACAGGGGGGAAAATAGCTTTTGGAAACTCGATGCTGCCTTTGTGCAATACAGTGTTTTAAAAATTAAAAAAAATTAAAAAGCGAGGAGAGGCGGAGGGTGTGTGTGCCTGGGCAGGGCAGCAGTGCTGTGCTGGTTGGAAGGCCGGCTGGTAGGCGAGGGAACTGGAAGGAGGGGAAAGACAACCAGCAGAGGCACGGAGGGAGGGAGGGCAGGAGCAAGGGAGGAGCAGAGATGGAGGTTGACACGGGTTGGCCGGTGGGCCGGAGGAGAGGGAAGGCGCCAGGGCCAGAGCAGCAGTCTCCCCGCACGCCCCCATTAAGCCCCATGGCATCCAGCACCCACACCGCCACCGGAGAAGGGGAGCGCAGGCGAGGCGCACGTAGACAGTCCAGCTGCCCGCCGATCTCTTTCCTCCTTGGCCTCACCCTCTGCCCATTCCATCCCCTTGGAAGAGGTTTTTTAAAGAAGGTACAGTACTTGTGGTACAGTGGTGGAATTCAGGCCAGCAAACGTTTCTGCAGAACTGATACTGCATTAGGTACCGGTTCTGTAGATCCAGTGCGAACCGGCTGAATCCCACCACTGGAAACAAACACACACACACACACCATACTCGCTCTTCCTACTTGAGATGCCTACGAGAGTGTGGAAATGTACAAGAGCTAAGTCATACTGAGTGGGCTACTGAGTGGCAGTTTCAATTTCTCTTCCTGGCCAACTCTTGTCAAAGTTTCCTCTTGTGCAGCCTCCTCCTTCTCACTGGTAGCTACTTCCCTGCTCTCTCCATCTTGTCCCTGTCTCCTCATTCTTACCTCAGACTCTTCCTGCATCCCTTTCCACATCCTTCCTCAGCCCTATATTCTGCTGCAGTCCAACCGTGTGGCAGTATGATATACAGAAAAGAAAGCTCTTTTGTGATGTCAGCAGCTGATCTGCCAATCCCCCCCTTTGCTCTTTTCCTGAGGTGTTACTGGTTGCTAGGTGCACAAGCTGAAAACTAAGGGACTGATGTAGTGCCTGCTGACTTCCCTTGTGACCTCCCCTCCTTCCCACAAGAAAAGAGAAAGAAAATGTCCCATTTTCCTATGTGATTTTTGGAGACGCTTGAGCTTATCCAAAGAGGAAAGATTGTCTGTTGCCCGACACACATATTCCATTACGTTGGTCGTCTTTCTCAGATTTGAGATGGTGTCACTGCACAAGAAGTTGAGAATATACAGTATGTGGAAAGATACTGTAGCTAAAATAAGCATGGAGGTGCCAACCCAAATTTCCAAGGCAATCTGAGGCCTGGATTTTTTTTTCTCCTCTCACTGCCATGAGAAGTGAGACACACATTCTGTTTGCGGATGTGGGTTCCAAGAGCATTTGATTCAAAACCACAGTGGGGAAAGTTTATTTTCCAGACATTTTATCCTACAACTCGGGTCAGGCTCATCCAACATAAGCAATGGTAAGGGATGATGGGACATGTAATCCAGAGTACCTGGGAGGCCATAGATTCCCCACCCTTGTTTTAAGAGCAGCAGTGGAAATCACCTGATGCTTCGAAGCCACTTATCAGTATGATATGAGCAGAACAGGAACGTCTCATTTGGGTTCTCTGGCAATCAGCATATGGAGGAATAAGCCTCTGATGCTGGAATGGGCTTGACTGGTTGCCACTGACAGCCTTCTATCACGCATGGTCTGCACAGTCATCGTTACACATGGTGTCTCCGAATTTTCACATTATATCATTGCCTTAGTTCTGCCCTTCCTGCATGCCTCTGCTTCCAGCTTCTTTGCAGTCATACTCAGTTGCTTCTTGTCCTTTTGGCTAACACAGGAAGATGGACAAATAACCTTTGAATGGGTACTGAAATATAACCAACATACAGAGGCAGGCTGTATCTCCCTGGGAGAGTGGCAGCTCAAATATTCTTTCTGAATCAACTTTTCCTTTCCTCAGTCTTGGTGTTGACTCCTTTCAACTTTAACCCTTTTCTGTTGGTTGCTCCTCAAACCTTTTCCAGCTGCCTAGAACCCCAAACTGGCGCAAATATTCTTTCTGAATCAACTTTTCCTTTCCTCGGTCTTGGTGTTGACTCCTCTTAGCTTTAACCCTTTTCTGCTGGTTGCTCCTTAAACCTTTTCCAGCTGCCTAGAAGCCCAAACCGGAGCAAATAACATATACCTTACTAGCAGCAGAGATCCACTTTGAGGCTGGAACTTGGAAGGTCAACAATAAGGATTGGTCAACCAATCTGTGATGACACACTGCACTTGTGACATTTTGTCAGGTTGTCTGTCTGTAAACCTGCCCTACTAAAGTTCTTACAAAGGTGGGATATTCAGGGAACTGTCGATTTTTATTTAATTATATCTTAAAGTTATTCCATTTTTCTATCCAGGACCTAAAAGTGGCAAATTTCTCTCTCTCTCCACACCATTTTATTCTTACAATTTTCCCCATGATTATGCTACAAGAGAATGACTAGGCCAAGGTCTCCACATTATGATGATTTGAACCCATGTATCTTCAAGACCTAGTCACACAACACCACAGTGGCTGTCTCCATGTAGCAAGCCTGAGTCCTTTTACCCAATACCAATATCACATTCTCAACCCTCTCTTGTCTATAACGCTGGTGATGGAATCTGGAGGAGGGCACAACTCTTGTGCAGATACCTTGAACATTATGAGTAAAACTGAAAGTGGAGATCCAGTTTGCAATGGGAGGTTGGATCCCAACTTTTGTGACCTCGGTGAGCCAGACAATAGATATCATGGGCTATTGGCCATGCCCCAGGATATCACAGCTTCCTGTTTATTTTCTCCATGTAGGGAAGACAAAGGGAGAAGAAAGCAGTGAAGGCTCAATCGTCACTTCAGGAACCAGAGAACTCAGGATCCAGCCAACCTCTGAAGCACTGCTGACTGTGTTCTGGTCCACAGCCATGGAGTTTCCTGGGTTCTGTCTTGTTTCTCAAGGCCACAATGGAGATCTTAGTGGGTCAGTCTGGGTTATACAATGCTTCCCACATATTACTAATCACTGCAGCAATGTAGTAGCCTTAGCCTCTATTCGAGTCAGGGGTGGAGTGGAGAGATAAAGCTGAGAAATATTGATTTTGACCACTAAGTGAATTTACAGCAATGGCAAGGGACAAACTGGAGGCTTCCCAGCCTGCAGCTGACACCCGGCATTGCTCCACCACAAACGTTCACCTGCCGGAGGACACAGAAGCTGTTGGATGGCAGACTACTCACCTTCCAGGCGGAGGCTTGCCCAGTACTTGCGGTGCACAGAAGCCACTTGGGCCAAAGACTGTAGGGCACTAGGGTGGGGGGCCTTGAGGCGTCCCAAGGGGGGTGGCGGATCCCCCAGCAAGCTGCGTGTACACATGGTCATGGACTCCGAGATTGACTCCAGGTTGTAGCCACCCTAAATGTAGGGAAGGAAAACTTGTGAGAGAGACAGCCTGCCAGGGGCCATGAGACGGTTGTGGTCTATGGGCAAATCAGGTGGGCGAGTTCCACATGTTCATTATGCAGGGGCGGAATCTGGTAACCAAAGAACCTCTGCTATTATTTAAAACATCAAAAGTAACCCTGAAGCGCTCATGACTCCTGATGGACATCAGCTGCTTTGCCTGCTCTCTTCCCCCACCACTGCCTTGACTCACACTGCATTAAAGACCCATGTTTGGGGCAAGTCCATAATTCCTAGTTCATTCCGACCACGCTCACTGCAGATGCCAGCCCCCCGATTTCATTTCTTTTCTCTTCCAGCCCTCTTCATTCCTTCTGAAAAGCCGGGTGCTCCCGTTCCCCCTTTTTCTTGGATGACAGCTTCCATCATTTTCCCCAGGCAGCACGGCCACTGGCCCTGCCGGTCAGTTGATTACATGAGTTCTACTTCAAAAAGTAATTTCCCCACTGCTGCTCTTCTCCAGAGCTGGTTCATAGGTCCCATTAAAAAAACAACAATTCCTGGCATGAGTTCTACTTCAAAAAGTAATTTCCCCACTGCTGCTCTTCTCCAGAGCTGGTTCATAGGTCCCATTAAAAAACGATTCCTGGCTTACCTCCAACACAAGCACCACTTTGCCTCCTGCCAGACCCAAGAGCAGATGGGTCATGTGTGCATAGCATTCAGGGGTCACGAGGCATCCACCGAGAGGGTCCCCTCGAGCAGCATCAAAACCAGCAGAAACCAGGACCAGTTCTGGATTGAACTACAAGACAAAGTACAAATATGAGCACACGCTCCTCGGGTTAGTTGCTTTTCCTCCCCCTACCGTGCCAGAGAGACAATGCAGAAGGGCTGCGATGTGCACCATGCCACTCTGTCTAAAGTTCTTCAGGTCCAGCGGGCATGTGTCTTTGTCTCTCTCTCTAGATCAGGGGGACCAGATCTTTTCTTTGCCCTTCAGCTGCCATCAAAGAGTGGGATGAAGATGTTTATCAGGGCCTCATGCGATGTCATTGGGCCCCTGACAGTATAAAGTCTGGACTTCAAGAAATGCTAGATGGCAATCCTGGGAAAGGGGCAGGAGGCACATTCGCTTAACTACTTTCCAGTCAACAGCACAGGTAGTTAAATCTTTGGGATTTCACAAGGGTCAGGCTACAGCTCCCCAAATCCCTTATCATTGGTCATCTGGGGTGAGACTGACAAGAGCTGTAAACTAAGACATCTGGAAGGCCAAAGAATTCCTAACCCACTCTTAAATCATTGTCATCTTAGAACTGCAGAGCTGGAAGGGACCCTACAGATCATCGAGTCCAACCCCTGTCAGGGAGGCCCAGTGGGGGAATCGAACTCTCAACCTCTGGCTCCACGGCCAGAGACCTCAACCACTGAGTTATCCAAGAGCTCAGAGCCCACCCTTGCCACAGGTTTTAAACTAGGCTCTGTTAACAAAATCGAAGATCCATGAAATGCAGCAGCCGCCGGGAACTGTCCAAAAACCTCTTGCATTGGCCTCACCTAATTACAATTACCAGGACTCTGGGCGAGAAGCCATAGTATTTAAGCCAATATAAAGCTGCTCGATGTTTGTAGCATATGAAGGGCCTAAGAGTGTTACTAGCCAGCAAAGCGTGCACGGTGCTCTTCCCGACGCAAGTGGCATGGCCTACCTCATAGCTGACAGGCATGACGATCTGGTGGAAGGCAGCCATGTACTCGGGGTCTCCCATGCGAGGGCAGTTCCAAGGCACGTTCAGGGTGTACCCCTTGCCAGGCCCCAAACCCACCCGGTCATAGTCAGCATCCTCAGAGGTGGGGAAGAAAAGGCCATTGTCGTAACGGTGGAGCGAGACGTACAAGACGCTAGATGGGAAGCAGAAGGTGATCAGAGAAGGTGGCAACAAACACCACCCAATTCCCTTGCAGGATGTTAAGAAACTATATGGCCATCATCATCTAGAATACAGTTGCAAGTCATTCTTGCTTCCCGGAGACAATCTATTTTCTAAAGGATCAAGGGCCAGAGGGAGGCCTCCACTTATGACAGCAGGAGCTGGAACTGTGGGTGCCTACAGAGTGCATGAATGCCTAATTTCTTTGGACAGCCTCTCCTTCCATTTTATAAAAGTCTGGCCTACGAATGGCCAATTGTGCTCTAACAAGATTCCCCGAAGGTGTGTGACTGGCCATTTAAAGCCAATTTCAGCACACCATCACAACCTTCAATCTCTCTTGAGGGCTCAAACAGACCTTTTTTTAAAAGGCATTCATCATGGAAAATTAATTAATACTGGCCATCTAAAGACTGAAGCCGATCCTCAGCTCAGAAGGCCGGGACGGGGAAGCAATGGTTCCAATTCCAAAGAAGATTAGTGTCAAGAGTTCCTTCCAAAATGGAAACAAGTTCAAGTCCTGTACCTGGGATCATCTTCAAACATGTGCTGTGTCCCATTGCCATGGTGGACATCCCAATCGAGTATCATCACCCTGAGGGGGGGAAAAAAACAGATAGGTGCCTAAGTGGACACAATAAATCCCATTACAGTGAGTTAAACTGGCACGGCATCCCACTCAGGAGCCACTTGTTCTGCCAGGTGGACAAAACTGCAAGCCCCTGGACTGCTGCTGGAGAGCAAGTCCTAGAAGCTAAACCTGCCCATGTTTTCAGAGGCAAATGGGCTCTGCAACTCCTGGTGCTGGTGCCTCCTTACCTCATAGGCCGCTCAGCCAAGCGCTGGGCATACCGTGCTGCCAAGGCCACAGAATTGAAGAAACAGAAGCCACAAGCGGTGTCTGATTCTGCGTGGTGTCCAGGTGGCCGGACGATTGCCACTGCGTTTCGGACCTGATGCCCCCAAAAAAGAGAAGGCATTTGGATAGATGGCAGCTCCCAGTATGAAATCCCCTCCCTCCACACCAATAACTGAAAAATTATCTGTTTGAATGTTCATGATTTGCTGGTTTATTGCCTTATAATATTTTAGACCAATTAGATTTAAGAAAAACAGCATTTAAAAATGTCTCGAACAGGCATGAGCATGAACCTCGGTTCAGAGGCTGGTGCCAGTTTGTCGGCACAGCATCACAGGTGTCACACATTTCCTTCTGCCCCACCCCACCCCTTGCCGCTCCCCCGCTCACCAGCTGAGGCACACTGCTTTTCTCTTGCATGATCATCCAGTCACAGTAGAAGCAGACTTCCCTTCTTCACCTCCTCCAGCAGCTGCCCATCCAAAACCAGCACATCAGAAATCCCTGCCCCGCCCCCTCATCTGAGTGGGCAGCTGCTGGAGGAGGCAGAGAAGGGAAGTCCATGCTCCTGTTGTGACTGGACGATTGCATAAAGAGCAGGAGAAAAGCAGCATGCACCATTTGGTGAGTTAGGGCCATCCAAAACCAGCACATCAGAAATCCCTGCCCCGCCCCCTCATCTGAGTGGGCAGCTGCTGGAGGAGGCAGAGAAGGGAAGTCCATACTCCTGTTGCGACTGGACGATTGCAGCGTGCACCATTTGGCGAGTTAGTGAGCTGGCCGGGGGTGGGGGAGGGAATCAAGTAGCACCTGTGATGCCACTTGAACAAATTGGCATGAACCTCTGAACTGAGGTTCTTGCCCATCTCTAGTCTCAAATAAATAATAATTCAAAATTTACTAAGCAACTAAGCCACCTAGGAAGCTCTGTGACCCTACGATCAAGGACAATGCCATCATTACGGACCTGGGGCCCAAAGAGATCTCATGTCGCTATTACTTCCAGAACGTGACCTGAGCAGTCCTCAAAATCTACAACCCTGCCTTACAGAACAGTCAAGCAGACAGACACATCTAACATATTTAAACTGGAAAAAGGGATTTCTCCAGTCCTTCTTTCACATCCCCACAGCAGTCAGGACCAACTCGGAAAAGCCTGCCACTCCTTGCCTCTCAAAGGGCTCACCTGCCCAGAGAGCACAGCCTCCACTGCACTGAAGGCAGAACCAGCTGCCAGCCTGGCGCATTCGTAGGAGCTGGCACAGATGTAGATAGAATTGTACTGGTCACCCTGGCGATGCAAGTCACGTGGCTTCATGGTGGCCGTCGACTTCACTGTCTCCACATAGGCCAAGCTGGAGAGAGGAGGAGGAGAGATACTAATGGAGTCCAGCTGCCTCTGTGGCAGGAATCACAAAGAATAAGAGTGTACCACCGACACCCAATCTTCCTAGAAGCCTCCCATCCCCCTCTGAGAAAGTGCCAAGACTCTTATCAACAGAAACTCATTGCAACCTGTGGCACATCCGCAACTCTTCTTCTGAGGCAAGCCGAGCTGGGAGCCGGCAGCACCTCTCTGTGAGACGCAGCTCTCCATGGCGCTGGAAGATCCGGGAGACTCTTTGAGGCAACTCTGGATGCTGGCTGGAGAAAAGAGAGGACACTAAGGGCAGCAGAGAACCAAGACTCTGATGCCGAAACTCAGGAAGCTTCAGCACCCTACCCTCAATTTTTGTAAGAGGTGGGGAGACTTTTTCCAATCCATTTAGAAAACCTCTAGGGAAGTGGCTCCCAACCTTGGGTACAACTAGGTGTTCTTGAACCGCAATGTCCAGAAACCTCAGCCAGCACAGCTGGTGGTGAAGGCTTCTGGGAACTGCAGTCCGAGAACACCTGGGTTACTCAAAGTTGAGAGCCACTGCTCTAGGAGAACATTTCTGCCTCCCTGCTCAGCTTTAAAGAAGATGCACCAAGTCTCAAGGGTGTCAAGAAGGTGTATCTTCCACAGTCTGAATTTCAGGTTTTATTTCATCCTGCTGGAAGCTAATTTGAGAGCTTCTCCCACTGGTTGGATATAAACTAGGCCTCATGCTGTGCCTAACCTGAGAAGCAGGAAAAGCAACTACAATGACTTAAGTGCCCAGACTAGTTCTCTGCATATGCTCAGAGGCACTGTTTGCCTGCTGGCCCACCAGTGTTGAAGAATAAAGTATTAAATAATAAACAGCATGAGTAATGCTCTGTCCCTGGAGCTGCTTTCTGGAGCAGACAGCAGACCAGGGAAATAAGGGCATTGATCTTGTTCTATTTAAAGAAAAAGAAGTGATCCAAAAACTGCCTTGGAAAGTTATTTCATGTACTTCTTTTGAGCAGATTGTCTCAGAAGCAATCAATCAAGCATTCCTTGTCACCTCACAATTCCCAATTCAGAACAGAGCCCCGTTTAATACATCTAAAATGACCTTCTGTCCACACATTTAGTAGCATGAAAGCAAATTACAAGAAAAAGCTTGTGAAGGACAAAGGAGTCAATGAGTATCACACCAAGATGATACTCCGCATAGAACGTACAGTCTGGATTCAAATAAATCATTGAGGAGTATTTCTACAGCACTTCGAAGTATGCAAAGGCACTTATCTCAACAGGAAGAGCAGGGAACCTCACATGCTTTGGCTAAACCCACCACGAAAGTGAAAAACAGGCAAGGCTAATCATTTCCATTATTGCAGATACGGAAAAGATGCATCTCTCAAGGCCATGCCCAAGGTGAGATCTCAATTGGGGACATCTTGGCTTGCATCCTATAAAACTCACTTCACATGTGCATGGAATTACCTGTCCCACATGTTGTAATGCTCTGTCATCTTCTCATCATAGACCAGCCCTGTGCAGGAAGGGGGATGAGGTCGCAACAGTTCAGCTGCTGACTTGGACAGGATCTCAGAGACTGGCAGGGGGTCGGCCACTGGCAAGGCGATTTCTCCTCCATCTTCCTGGTGCACATCTGAACCTGCATTGCACATTAGTCGATTTATATCCCATCTTTCCTCCAATGGAGCTCAAGATGGCATACGTGCTTCTCTGCCTCCCCACTTCTTCACTGCCATCTTCTCAGGGAGGTCAGGCTAACAGGCAGAGGAGATGGGCCAGGATGACCCCCCAAGCTTCATGGATCTGTAGGAACTTGAAACTCCCAAGTTCAATCTAGACCAATACTCTGTCCCACTCTTTACAGGGAGAGGTAAAGAAGAATTCAGGGTGGATCCGAAATCATCAAATTTAGGGCATCCAATATTTACTCAAAGGAATCGCTGCTCACAAGGCCAGGGAAGGATGGGGGAACAAAGATCTCCAGGTTTGGTTATTGCTCAAGGAAGGGGGGGAACAAAGTGAAGACACTCACTGATCCTCCGCAAGTTCTTCCAATATTTGCTGTGAACCGCTAGAGTCTGGGACACTGAATGGAGGGCACTGCCAGGAGGGAAACACGCAGAAAGTGGCAAGTCAGCAAGAGCTGAGACCCTTTGTGTGTTTGGGGATCAAAGGAGGAAGTGTCCTCTCTCACCTGCTGCAAGGTGCAAGAGGTGATTCCAGCAGAGGACAGGGATCTCCGAGAAGAGCCTTGAGCACTGAGCAGGTTCCTTCTGCCAAGGACTGGTGATTGTACCCACCCTGGGGGAGAAGGAGAAGAAGAAGAGAAGCAAGAATGACCCCACCCAGCAGACAGAGAGCGGCTGTATCCCTATGGGATCCATTTTTCTAAAAAGCATCTTCTCCAAGATGGAAGGACTAAGTCACTCACCTCCAGAGACAGAACAAGCTTGCCTCCAGACAGTGGCATCAGCAAGTGTGTCAGGTGAGCAAAGCACGCCGGGGTGGCAGCCATTTCCCCCTGTGGGTGCAAAGGAGAGACCATTTCATTATCTCATCTTACTCTTGAGCTGGCCGGATAGCTTGTGGTTTAAGCTTCTGACTGCAGAGCCAGAGATTGGGAATTTGTTTCCCCACCGTGCCTCCTGCAAGCAGATCCAGCTTGTACGGCCTTGGGCAAACTGCAGAGTCCCGGAGTGCCTCCAGAAGAAGGGAATGGGAAACTACCTCTGAGTATTCTCTACTTGGAAGAGCCTGAAAAGGGTCCCCATACGTCGTCAGAATTGACTTGAGGGAACATAATTATGACTATTTTTATTATCTTACTCTTGAGGCTTGGGCAAGGCAGAAGTGGGGGAGGGGATAAGATAGGGGTAAGGGAAAGAAATGGTGGAGTCTACTGCAAGGGGTTTATTTTTTCAAATGAGGAGAAAATAAGGAATTATCTAGAGGGTTAGCTACTTCCACTGCAGCAAGCTCAAAGGCTGAAACAGGGATGCCTCAGGCAGCTTGTGGTGTTGAAACTCTGGGAATACATTTTCTGTCCTCTTATCTGAGAGAGCTAGCTCCAAATGTTCTGGTTAGTGTTCAAGCACATCTCAAGAACTGGGGGAATTTTTGGAACTGTCATCCAAGGAGTACGGTCACTTTTCTGAGATTGAGGCAAGCAGCAACATTTGGGTTACAGAATGAGGGAGGAAGAGAGGGCTCTTTGCTTCCTCACAACCCTGTTTAGTCCTTTAGCTCAAATCAAATTCCTTCCATCATTGTGAAGACAAGAATGCAGGCCCAGCCCCTCGTTCTTGGTCTACCAACTGTCTTGAATGAAGAGCTGAGACGTGGTTGTAAAGAGGAGAGAACGTTTTCCTTCCCCAACTCGGCCTAATCCAGTCACTCTTCCTACAAGCTGATACCACCCCGCCACTGGAATGACAGCAAGGATTCCGTGTTTGCTGTGCACCTCCTCCATGTCTCTTCCAAAACCACCCCAGCTTATATATTGCTGAGAGGATGATAACGGATCATGCGGAAAGGGCTTCCTTCAGAGAGGTCTGATAACCTCTGAGGACTGCTCGACAAGAAACATATTCATACCTTGGGGTCACCAACCACAGAGTCAAAACCAGCAGCGACCAGGACCAGCTGGGGCTGGAACTAAAAACAAAAACAAAAACATTGTCATAAAAGCAGCAGCCAGAAGATCTCAATGGTCACCACTACGCCTTCTTCCTGACCCAGTGCTGATGATATCAAAACCTCCTAAAAGTGGTCCTGAACTAGACAGGTTTCTCCGGCTAAGAGGCCACCGCAGCCTGAAAGGATATTACCTGGTCAGGGAACAAATGATGGGTATCCCAAACAATGAAGCTGATTTATATATATTTTTATTGGAGTCCAGGAACAAGATCAGGGACCAAGGGCTGTTTGTCACATGATACACAGAGGTCCAATGGTATAAGACTACAGATGCCTCTCACACCACTTTATGTATAAGTATGTGAGAAGCCGGGGACGTGGAGGCGCTGTGGGCTAAAGTGCAGAAGCCTCTGTGCTGCAGGGTCAGAAGACCCGCAATCGTAAGATCGAATCCACGCGACGGAGTGAGCACCCGTCGCTTGTCCCAGCTCCCACCAACCTAGCGGTTCGAAAGCATGCAAATGCAAGTAGATCAATAGGGACCACCTCGGTGGGAAGGTAACAGCGTTCCGTGTCTAAGTCGCACTGGCCATGTGACCACGGAAGATTGTCTTCGGACAAAACGCTGGCTCTATGGGTTGGACACGGGGATGAGCACCGCCCCCTAGAGTCGAACCCGACTGGACAAAAATTGTCAAGGGGAACCTTTACCTTTACCTTTATGTGAGAAGCCACTCTATATAACATGATGAGTCATAGCATTCATGTTACTGGTACTTCAAAAAGTGTCAGCCTTTTACAATACTAGCTATCTGTAAAACTGATTTATGCTGAATAGTTCAGTGGTTTCGGTCTCCGGTTGCAGATCCGGAGGTTGGGAGTTTGATTCCCCACTGGGTCTCCTTCACAGGGACTGGACTCCATGATCAATTTATAATACATATTTTATTTCTAAATTGATCTTAGGCTTTCAATGATCAAATATTAATTTGCATTCTATTTCTAAGCCAATCATAAAATTTATGCCAACAATCTTCATGATTCATCTTTCTTCTTGAGTCTACCCTTTCTGATAGTTTGTCCATTTCCGCTGTATCCAGAATTTTTAATATTAAGTCATCTTGAGATGGATTCTCCAGGTCCTTTCAATGTTTAGCAAAAAGAATTCTTGCAGCTGTCAGGATATAGATAACTAAATATTTTTTCATTGGGTCTATTGAATCCGGGATTATATTTAGAAGAAAAAATTCAAGGGTTACAGTTCTTGAAATCTCTAAAAGCCCTTGCAAAAGCATTTCAACCCTTTTCCAATACAGTGGTACCTTGCAAGACGAATGCCTCGGGCAATGAAAAACTCACAAGACGGAAGTGTCTTGCGAGTTTTTAGGTGCCCCACAAGACAAAGATATTTTCATCTTGTGAGGTACGTTTTCCCACAGGAATGCATTGAATGTAATTAATGCGTTCCTATGGGCCAAAAAAACTCTGAAAAAGTCACTTACCAGGTAGGGAGCTGGAGAAGCACCATCGGAGAACTGGCGGGGCTCGCCCGCAACCGCGACCGCCACTTTCTGAGGTCCCTTGGCAGTCCTCTGATGGTGCTGGGGAAGTCTTCAGAGGCTTCTGAAGCCAGTGATAGCAGTTGCAGGGGACCCCCGCCAGTCCTCCGATGGTGCTGGGGGGGCTGGGGGGGGGCGAAAGCGGCGCTGGCGCC